CCAGGAGGCCCCCGGGAGGCTTCCGGATTGCCTCAATCTGGCCGCAGGTGGCCTCAAGTCGGGCTTCCACGCAGCCAAGACGGCCAATGACGGCTTCAGATTGCAGAACCGATGCCCCCAAGGGACCCTCAGACGCCCCCCCAAGAAGCACCCAAGAGGTGCCTCCAACAGCCAGTTGACGAAGCCTGCGGAACACCCCAGAAGCTCCTCAGATGCCGTCGCGCGCCTGTGCTTGATATCGTTGTCCAAGATCGTCCAGCGCCCCAACGGCCTGGGCTAGAACCTGAGCGCGCGCGAAGCGCGCGCGATGGTTCTAGTATATATATATATATATATATATATATGCATTTGGTATATTTGTATTTTTAATTGTTCCTCGAAAGCCCGCCTGTAGGGGGACATGCCCGACCTGACGCCAGCTGCGGCCGCTCCGCGCCTTGCTGGCCCTCGTCGTGATCGATGTTCGAGGGTCGAGGCTTCTAAGCCTTGGCTTACGTCGAGCCTGTCCCTCTACAGGAGGAATGTTCAAACATAGTTTAAACATATTCGGGGGATGATGTTTGGAGTGTGTTTAAGCATGTTTTGGTATTGTTTGACTGTGTCTCATTGTTGGTCCAAAATCCGCCTGTGCGGGGACACGCCCGACCGAATCTTCGACTTCATAGAAAAGAAAACATTATATATATGTATTACAAGAAACGCCATAAACATCAACTTGTGGCGCTCCGCGCGGATTTTTTGGCTCCGCGCCGGGACCCCCCGGCGGCGCCTCCGGCGCCGCCCTTGACGCGCTCCGCGCGCCAGGGAGGGGTGTCCAGCGCGAATCGAGGAGACCCGCGCGGAGCGCCAAAAGTTCATGTTTTTCTGTTGTCTCCTTCTTCTTCTTCTTATTATTATTATTATTTTTCTTCTTCTGTGGTCCTCGTCGTGGTCGGGGTTCGAGGATCGAGGTCTCCGAGCCCTGACCGTCTTTTTTGGGGGCCAGGGGGGCTTATCGTCGCCACGGCGCCGGATCCGCCTCGAGGTGTTTGGCAGGACGCGCTCCCGTGGAAGCCCAGGTGTAGACTTGGCTCCACCGACCCCGGCCTCCGCGCCTCCGTTCAAGAGTCTAGACTTCAGAGACCCGAATCATCAGGGGTAACTCGGGTCAGGGCTAACTCGGGTTCGTTTTTCGTGAATCCGAACCCGAGTTGCCCCGGGCCCGAGTTACCCCGGATAACTCGGGCGTCCAGAGCCCCAAATCATCAGGGATAATTCGGGTCAGGGCTAACTCGGGTTCGTTTTTCGGGAATCCAAACCCGACCGAGTTGCCCCGGGCCCGAGTTACCCCGGATAACTCGGGCGCCCAAGGATTCGAGCATCGGGGCTCGAGGACAGGTGTTGTGGAGCGCTCGAAGTTCTGGTCGGAGTTCTGGTCAGAGCGCACTCCAGGAGAGGTCCAGGGGCGGGAACGAAAGCACGACTGACGGTTTCTGGGCGTGTTCGGCAATTGGGTCTTCGCAGGGCCTGGGGGCCGTCGGAAAACGACTCAGGATGGAACGTTTCTTACACGTGCCTCTCTACCTCTGTCCGTCCTCTTCCTCTTGCGCCTTCCCCTCTCGCTGAACGTACTACACTCTCTTCATCCCTCCGTCTGTTCCTCTCCTACCTCCGTTCCGCTCCCTCTCTTCCTCGTCCCTCCGTCTGTCCCTCCCCCCTCTCTTCCTCCTTCCTCCGCCTCTGTCCACATTCTCTTCCTCCTGCTCTCCTCCCTCCCTCTGCCCCATTCTCCATGTCCATCTTCTGCCCCCCCCTCCTCCTCCGACCCTCACTCCCTGTTAGCTACCGACAGCTAGAGGATCACTTTGCGATTGGCGTCGGGTCGGGTCCCCGATATATGAAAGAGCGTGTTCTACCGCTGCTGGCGGAAAACCGGGGGGGGTCACTACCGGTTCGAACCCCTCCCCCCCCCCCTCCGGAAAACCGGGGGGGGTCACTACCGGTTCGAACCCCTCCCCCCCCCCCCACTTGGATGGCCGCGGCGGCTGCTAGGTGGTTAGCGCGGATACTAAGGGGTTAGAGGATTTAGTATGTACGTACAAGTGAGTTGTAAGTAGGTTATAAGTGTTGTAAGTCGGATGTAAGTTGTATAACCAGCTACAACTGGTTAGTAGGAGATACTAGCCACTTATAGCTGGAGGCTAACCTTGCTAAGTCTCTAGTAGAGGTTAGCTCGCTAAGTCCCCACTCTAGCTACCACTTGCTAACCACTTAGTAACCACTTAGCTGCCACTTAGTAACCACCCAGTAACCACTTACTAACCACTTAGTAACCACATAGTAAGTCCGCTAGCTAGCTTACTTACTAAGTGGTTAGCGGACTTACTAAGTGGTTAGCGGACTCTGAGAAGGAGAAGGAGGAGGAAGAGGAGGAGGAGGAGGAGGAGGAAGAGGAGGGGGAGAGAGGAGGAGGAGGAGAAGGAGGATGAGGAGGAGGAGAAGGAGGAGGAGATGTCGAGGAGGAGGAGGAGTAGGAGGAGGACGGGGAGGAGGATGAGGAGGAGGAGGAAAGGGGGAGGCGGCGGCGGAGGCGGCGACGGGCGCGCCTCAGCCCAAGACGGCCGCTCGACGCGGCGGCCCTGCAGGGCCGCCGCGTCGAGCGGCAGCCTGGCGCGGCTGAGCGCGGCGCAGGCGAAGTTCGCCTGCGCCGCGCTCTGCGCCGCCATCTCCAGCGGCATTGCCGCTGGCGCGGGCGGCGGGGGGGGCCCCGCGCGCCGCTCGGCAGCCAGAGCGGCCCACCGCACGTAGCCGTCGTCCACAACCCAGAGGGTTGGGGGACGACGACGTGCGACGGGCCGATGGCTGCCGAGCCCGTCCCACCCCTCGGGGATGTCGAGGAGGATCCCCGACATCCCCGAGGGGTCCTCCGAGAGGAGACTGCCCCATGGCTCGGGGTCGCCATCGAAAAACATGTCTTGATATGTTTTTCGATGGCGATCCCGAGCCGCGAAGCAAAGGGAAAAGGGAGGGCGCGCTCCCCGCGCGGCCTGTAAGCCGCACGCGCGCGGGCGGCGTCTCCTCCTCCCCCCTCCTTCTATCCTCCTCCTCCTCCTCCTCCTCCCTCTCCTCCTCCTCCTCCTCCTCCTCCTCCTCCTCCTCCTCCTCCTCCTCCTCCTCCTCCTCCTCTCGTCATCATCATATACTCCTCCCTCGTCCTCCTCCTCCTCATCCTCCTCCCTCGTCCTCCTAACTCCTCCGCTCCTCCATCGTCCTCCTCCTCCCCCCATCCCCTCCTCATTCTCTCCTCCTCCTCCTCCTCCTCCCTAGCTCCCTCTCTCTCTCCTCCTCCCCCTCCTCCTCCTCCTCCTCCTCCTCCTCCTCCTCCTCCCCCCCCCTCCTCCCTCCTCTCCTCCTCCTCTCCTCCTCCTTCCTCCTCCTCCTCCCCCCCCCCCCCTCCTCCTCCCCCCCCTCCTCTCGCTCTGAGCTATCTCGTCGTTTTCCTCCTCCTCATGCTCCTCCTCCTCCTCCTCCCCCTCCTCCTCCTCCTCCTCCTCCTCCTCCTCCTCCTCCCCCTCCCCCTCCTCCACCCTCCCCCCCTCGTCAGAGGAGGGGGGGGGAGAGGAGAAGGGGGAGGGGGAGCAAGATGAGGAGGAGGAGCAGCAGTAGGAGCAGGAGGAGGAGGGGGAGAAGGGGGAGGATGCGGGGAAGGAGGAGTTTGAACGACCGCACCACTGATCAACGACATTAGCGCTGCAGCGCAAGAGGAGGAGGAGGAACGAGGCGGAGGAGAGGAATCGGCGACCATGCACTGTTCAGGTGCTGCAGCACCGAAGTGTCACTGAAAAAGGTGCGCTACAGCGCAATGCAGAAGGAATCCACGTTTTCAAGGCGGAGAAGAGGAGTCGTCGACCATGCAACGTTCAGGCGCTGCAGCACCGAAGCATTTAGCAATGTAAAAAAGTGCGCTGCAGCGCCAGTAAGGAATCCACGTTTTAGGCTAAAGCGCACCACCGCGGCTGCGACCATATCGGGCGCGCCACTCGGATGCCGCCGCCCTCGCGCGGCGCCCACGCGAGCGAGCACACGATGCTCGCCGTGTGCGCCCACAAGGCGTCGGCATCGCCGCCAAGCACGTGCGCGGAGGCGCGCGGGTGCAGCTTCTCCTCGAAGAAGTAGGGCAGGACCACGCTCAAGCCATAGTAGTGGCCGTTCTTGGTGAAGGAGAGGTGTTTCAACACCTCGGCCGCAATGTGTTCCCCTCCTCCGTCCCCCAACAGCACGACGTCGCCGTATTTGACGTCGTGGTAGCGGCACCGCGCTGCAGCGGACGTAACAAAGTCCGCAGGCCCGAACTGCTGCAGCAGTTCGCGCGAGATGGCCTTGGACGGCCTGGTGGCGTTAACCAGGCAGTTAACCTTAAAGGTGTCGCCATCCATGAGCTGCCACAGGTGCCGCTCGGTGACGCTCTTCAGGACATTGGCGTCCCAGCCGCTGGAGGCTGCAGCCCCCGCCTGAAGAGCGTTCGCAAAGCGCTTGCTGGTCTTGTGCTTGCGCTCCAAAACCCAGCACGACGGCAGCGCCACATGGCCCCAACGCCTCACGTAGTTGGCGAAGTGGCGCAGGTAATGGAACTTCTGCGCCATCGTTTCCTTGCCAAAGACGCTGCTGTATGACAGCAAAAACATGTTAACCGCAGCCTGCAGCTTATCCGCGTCTGCCTGACGCCTGGATACTCGTAGGATTTCTTCCACAACGATCGTGTGCGCCTCGAACACTGCGCAAGCAGATCGGACTGCAGGCGCTGCAGCGTCGCTAGCCACCTCCCTGAAGAAACACGTCAATCCGCCCGCGCGAACGCATGTCCGAACAAGAGGGGTGCAGTACATATCCTACAGAAATTCACGTGCGCTGCAGCGCATGTATTATTGGTCTGGCGGGGGCGCGAAGCATGCAATGATACTTGCATGGTTGTGAGCCCCTCGCTGGCGGTACACTTGAAATGCTTGCTGTCAACGTGGGACCTCACGCGCTTCTCGCCGAAGATCGCGCACGTGTCGGGGGAGATGGAGTGGCACCCTGGAAACGACCAGTCCTGGAAATATGCGTCTGCGCGCGCCCAGTAACCCTTCAACCTTCGAAACATTTGGAACACCAGAATGTTATATGTACCGTTGACGAAAATACAATGCATCCAATCAAACATGACTGTCTCGAGCGGCTTGAGTTTCCGAACCCGCTCAGGCAAATGGGGGTCCCAGTTCCAGCCAAGTCGGCGCTCCAACTCCTGGGACTCGCCCTTGTTCGCGATGTTGACCCCTTCGATCAATCTGTTGCAGATGGCATCGAGCAACGGCGCCGTCATCGGCTGCAGCCGCGACGCATCTGGTTCCGAGTGGTGAACAGCGACACCCGTCGCATCAGAAGCAACTATATCCCGAACTTCGCCCTTCAAGAACACGTTGCGGCACGTAAAACATGGTTTGATTCCTGACGAACCTTTCATTCCGATCAAGCGGTGTATTGCATCCTCGGCCGCGATCCGACAGAGCCGCTGCAGCGACGCAAGAAGGCGTAATGGATATATACATGTGCACATGTATGCTAAGTAATCTTGGGTGCTATGCGGCGACCGCTGCAGCGGCTGAATGTAAATTCCGAGGTCCATCTGGATGAGCTCCGTCGCGCCGTCGGGGCGCAGCCGCAAGCTGATGCCTGCGCTGAAGTTGTGCCCCTGATCAGGCCAGAACTGCGCGAGGATTGCGTCCAGTAGCATCGTCAGTCCGTGCGGCTGGATGTCGTTCGCGGTCTTGGCCCGCATCGTCGCGAGCTGGAACCACGCATCCTGCGAACAAATCGCAGCACAACTGGCGCTGCAGCGCCTCTCTCTCTCTCTGTCTCTCTCTCTCTCTCTCTATCTCTCTCTCTACCCCCCTCCCCCCCCCCGCATATATCGTTGCTGCAGCAACGCTATCGCGAAAGTCCTCCGACGAAAGCGCCTGCGGGCCGAATTCCGCGATCGTCCAGTAGATGCCCCAGGACTTGCGGTTCTGCACGTGCGCCAGCGCGTTGCCAGCGCCTATTTCATCGCCGTAAATGATGATGTGCCACGGGCGTGGCAGCTCCAGCGCCCGCTGCCACAGAGGCTGCATCGCGGGGAGGGCGCTGCAATACCACAGCATTGCTGCTGGACTGCAGATCTCCACCGCGTGCTGCCCGACTACCATGTTCTGGTGGAGCTTGCCGCACGGCGTGTTCTCACCGACCATGAGCTCCCGAGCGTCTCTGATATCCTGGCGTCGGGATCCCAATTCGGGGGTTCCGTCTCGCTTAACGGACGCCAGGAATTGCGCCATCGCATTACAATGCATGAATGGCAGTTCCGCGCGAAGGCGGGACAGCCGCCGCAGCTTCGCTGGGCGGTCGTCCTCTGCCGCCATCGCGCGCGTTCCCGAGGCAAGCTTGCCTCCGTCGCTGCGCGCGCGCGGAGGGGCCCCTCCGCTAGGGGCCACGGCGACTACGGATGGAAATGAGGCTGCACCGCGTGGAGAGCAACCAAATGCGCGCTGCAGCGCTAACTGCCAAGCAACAGTCTGGGAGCACATGGCGCTACAGCGCCGCTAACGTTCAATGATGACAATCTGACGCGCTGCAGCGCGAACGTCCTCCTCCTCCTCCATCCTGCTCGCCATCCCCCTCGTCCTCCTCATCTTCCTCCCCCTCCTATACTTCCTCATCCTCCTCTTCCTCCTCCCCCCCCTCCTCCGCCTCATGCGCCCCCTCATCCTCCCCATCCTCCTCATCAACCTACCCATCCTCCTCATCATCCGTCTCCCGTCCCTTCATCCCCCCCGTCACCATCACCTTCATCGTCAACAGCATCAATATCACTCGCCCTCATCATCCGCCACAACACCATCCAACGAGAAACTGCAAGCGAAACTGCGCTGCAGCGCAACGCATTAACACATCATGATCCGCGCGCAAACTTTCAAACGTGGTCCACGGAGAAGCGCTGCAGCGCAACTCAAGCAACACGCTCAACCACGTTCCCTCCAGCCTTTACCAATCAATCGAACCAGCATGCTTCAGCAGGCGGTCGCCGAGGCCGACCTCACTCAGGTCACCTTCATCTTCTTGGCGTTCCGCAGCGAGGTCAACGCCTCGTTGAGATTCTGGTTGGCCACGTCCGAAGCGGCGATGTCCATCTGACCCCGACCCTGCTACTCATACTCCCCACCCTCCCACATCATCGCCTTCCACCTCCTCCTGGTCATCCCCCCTGTCGTCCTTCTCCCCCGCTGCAGCGGGGGAGTAGCCTGCCGCACTCATGAACCCCACCGTCCTCCTTCTCATCCGCCTCCTCATCCACCTGCAGCTCCGCGGTGCGGATCTGCGCCTGCTTCTCCGCTTTCCTGGCGTTCTTCCGCGCCTCCTTCACCTCTGCTGTAGCAGTCGCCGTCGCTCTCGCGCGGGCCTCGCGCAACTCGTCGCGACGGTCGGCGCGCGCTTGCGCTTCGAACGGCTCGTCGCAGCGGCGCGCCGCCATTGCGAGCCCAGTGAGGAGGCGGAGGAGGTCCGTTGCCAGCACCCGCTGCAGCGAACGATGGCGACTGCGACGCGCGAGCCAAGTGAGGAGGAGGAGGAGGAGGGGGAGGGAGGGCATGCCATCGGCAACGCGCAACATGAGCGAATCACAGCGCTGCAGCGCGTGACTTGGCAACAACCATGCGGGAGACAACGCTCGACATCACGAATGATGGCGCTGCAGCGCGTATCGACGAGGAACGACTGGCACTCAAGACGAGCACGTCACGCAATACATGGGCACCGCGGCTGCAATTGCACACTCACAAACGCGCCAACGCTACAACGGCACCACAAGTCTGACAGGCGCTGCAGCGCTGCATCGGAACACAACAGCGCGCAATATCTACGCCACCATCCAGGAAAGCGAGCGCTGCAGCGCTGCATCGTGATCATGATGGCGATGCAAACGTTGACCACAAAGGCGCCAGCGCTGCAACGCCCGCATCCAAGAGAACCCGTCAACATATTTGACTTTCATCCTCCTCGTCGTCCGTGCGAGCCGCGCGACCGCCAGGCAAGACCATCGCCGCTACCGTTCATATCATCGGCCAGCGTTCCATCCAACCTCGCACTAATCCTCACCATCCTCCTCATTCCTTCTCCTCCACATGCTCATCCTCCTCATCATCCTACCCATCCTCCTCCTCGCCCTCATAATCCTCATCCTCACCTCCATATGCCGACAGTGCCCGTTGCGCGCTCACGGCTTGCCGCGACGGCCAGTGAAGTTCGGGTCGCGGCACGTGCCGCAGCCATTCGGCAGGTAGCGGCATTTGCTGCACCCGGGTGCCATGTGGCCCCGTTTGGCTGCCGCCTTGCCCTTGGGCTTGGCCTTGGCCTTGGCTTTGGCCTTCCCTTTGCCCTTGGCCTTCGGTTTGGCCGTGCCCTTGGCCGCCGTCTTGCCCTTGCCAGCGCCTGTCTTGCTCTTGCCCTTGATCGCGCTCTTGCCCTTGCCCTTCTTGCCCTTGCCCTTGCCCTTGCCCTTGCGAGGCAGCTCGCCTTTCGCGCTGCCCGCAGCCAAGGTCTCGATCGCCTGCAGCACAGCATCCTCGTCTCCGTCTGCTGCTGCAGCAGCATCTTCGTTTGGCGGCGTTGGCGCTGCTGCAGCAGCATCTGGCGCCGCCGCTGACAATGCTGGCCCAGCTGGCGAATCACCAATCGCGGGGGGACTCGCGGGGGGGCTCGCCGTGGGCGCCGCAGGGCGGCGCGGGAAGAGCTGCAGCTGCAGCTCGTTGGGCGGCGATGGCGGTGGCGCAAACGCTGCCAGCATTTGCTGCATCACGGCCATCGCGTCCATGGGTTGCATTGGCGCTGCAGGCGGCACGGAGGGTGACCCCGATGGCGTCCATGGCACAATGGCAGTGCTCGGCTGATGCGGTGGGGCGGCAGCCCGCAAGCCCTTGTTGGTCAGCCTGAGAGGCACGCGAGCCTTGATGGCGTTGAGACCCGCAGGCCGCTTCAGCGGCGCACGCGTAGCATGAAACCCATCATGCTCTATGCGAGGTGGACCTAAAGGACCGAGCTCACCGAAGCACCCAAGACATCCAGAACAATCAGCGCTGCAGCGCATGACGGGGTGGCAGCAGCCTCGTAGATGCGATGCCACGTTGGCGAGGTCGCGCGTCACATCGATCGGCGAGTCCGCATCGGTGTACGCCGCATCGAAGATGTGCTGAGGGAGCTGCCGAGGATCTGCTGGGAACTTCCAAGTCACTGTCGCCGCTTGCCCCGTCGCGCCCCTGCGGCTCGCCAAGAACTGACCCTGTAAAGGGCGACTCGTCGGGAAACCCTAACGCTGACGCGCCGCGTCGCATTGGCTGCAGTCAGTGCGATGTGATGCGTCTGCGTTAGGCGTTCCCGCCGAATCCCAAACCTTCATCTCCGTCACGATCCCGTAGAGCTGCCCAGGGTTTGCGTCTGGAAGATGGGCGCATGCCATCAACGCCGCCAACTCTTTCAGCGTGTTCTCGCTCGGAACCGTCAAGCCGATGGCACCGCAACGTTTGATCAACGCGCGCACCTTCGCGACGATGCTCTGGCTGGGGTCGCGAAATAAACCCCAGTCCTGCATGGTAAAGCCCACCAGCCTACGAATCGACGCAGGCATGCTGCAGCATGCTAACATAAGTACATTTGAAAAATGAACATGGTAACATACATAAAGTACAGAACAAACAATTAAACCATACATGTGAATAACACTTCGGCGGTCCGATGTGCAAAGCACGATGGATAGCACCGCCCTGACGCGAGCGTCTGCACGCGCATCTGGAGCGTGGGCGTCGCCGTGCCCACGCGCGCGGCCAGCGCGGCGCTGAGGCGCGCCTTGTGGCTGTCCGCGAAGCCCGACGCGGTGATTCGATTATGCAGGGTAGCTGCTTGGGCAGCCCCGATCGTCCCCAAGTTGTGAAGTTGCAGCTGCACGCTCACGGACAAGGCGGACTGGCTCTGCGCCATCGCGTCGGCGGCGATGACGCCGATCTGCGATGCGAAGAAGGCGTCGCAGCTGTCCAGGTTATCCAGGATGTGGTTGATGGGTGTGGCCGCAGCCGCGGCAGACATGATGCCCTCCGCGAGGGCGAGGGGGTGCGCGGACGCTCCGAGGGGAAGCGCGAGGGAGGGCCTCCCACACTGCGAGAGCTGAAGCACTCGGCTGCTGAGGTGGAAGAGAGGCCACAACAGTACAGATGCGCTGCAGCGCAACGATCGCATGCAATTAAGGAACACACGTGAGCGCTGCAGCGCTCAGCAGAAATCATCGTCACAAAGTAACATGAAGCGCTGCAGCGCTATGCATGCGCACCATGATGGAACGCATGGTAGTGGGCAATAGGGAGAGAGATATAGAGTGATGGAAAGGAGAGGAGGGAGATAATGAGGGACACGGGGGGGAGGGGGGGGGGGCGGGGGGAGATGCGAGGAGACACGGGAGGGAAGGACACGAGCGCGGGCGGGCGGGCGGGCAGGACACGGGGGGGGATGCATGATCATTTGAGGAACACGGAAGGGACGGTGCGAAAGACACGGAGGGGTGGGAGGGACATGGGAGAAACACGGGGGGGGGCACGGAAGAGACACGGGAGGGACACGGGAGTTCGGGGGCGAGCGGGCGGACGGACGCGGGAGCGGTGCGGAGGGACACGGGCGGGAGCGCACGGAAGGCATGTGGAGACACGGAAGGGGCACGGGAGAGACGCGGGAGAGACACGGGAGACGGATAGGTATACACGGGAGCTCGGGAGCGGGCGGGCGGGCAGACACAGGAGGGACACGGAAGGTGTCCGAGGAGGGCGCGGGACGGATTCAGGAGATGCGCGAAGTGTGATCAGGAGCAAATACCGAAGCGATCTGGGAGCCTCGAAGGCAGCTGGGACATCGACAGAGGCGTGTCTGTTCAATAGAGGGGGCTATTGAACAGACACGGGCGTGGCTGTTCAATAGAGGGGGCTATTGAACATGGCATGTTCAATAGAGGGGGCTATTGAACAGACACGGGCGTGGCTGTTCAATAGAGGGGGCTATTGAACAGACACGCCGCTGTCAGACAGCACCACCTCTGCAGAGGGGCACCGACGCTCTCAGATCGCTTCACCCGAAGCTCCCGTTCGACCTCAGATCAGCCATCCTGATGCCAACATCCAGCACTCCAGCCCACCCCAACGCCCACCCACGCAGTCCCAGAACACTGTCCACACTGCTGATT